AGTGGGGGGAGGGGGAGAGGAGTGGGGGGAGGGGGAGAAGTGTGGGCGGAGGGGGAGGGAAATGGGAAGCTGGGAGGAGGCGGAAATTTTTTTTCTTATTCTCAATAAAAATAAATAAATAAATAAAACAAAAACAAAAAAAAACCTAATCAGAAGAGATAAAGAAGATACTAAATAGTCATTTTTTAAAAATCTATGGTAAGGATATTAAAATTCTAAACATTTATTTACCAAACACAAGAGCACCCAAGTTCATAAAGGAAAGACTACTGAACCTAAAATCATGCATTGACTCTCACACAAAGATAGTGGGGGACTTCAAACCCAATTCTCACCAAAACACAGACCATCCAAAGAAAAACTAAGCAGAAAAATGCTGGAGTTACATAGCATCATAAATCAAAAGGTACTAGCAGACATCCATAGGACTTTTCACACAAATACTAGATAGTCCATTTTCGTCTCAATAGGCTATGGAACTTTCACAACATACAAAGACACAAAGGAAGTTGAAGAGTGATAGGAAAATTTAAATAACACCCTATGTTCTATAAGACCACCAAAGACTAACAACGAATATCAAACCAATCGGAATGCCAAAAAGTACACAAACTCATGGAAATTGAACAACACCAAATGAAGAAAAATTATGTCAAGACAGAAATCACGAGGGATTAAATACTTTTGTGAATTGAATGAAAATGGAAACAGTATATGCAAACTTATGGAACATATCAAAAGTGATTTGTTGAAGGAGTGGCAGGGCTGCGTTCTGGCAGCCCTGGCTCCCACATGGCAGGCTTATGCCCGAAATAATTACACGGAAACTGTATTTTTTTTTAAACACTGCCTGGCCCGTTATCTGTAGCCTCTTATTGGCTAGCTCTTACATATTGTTCTAACCCATTTCTAATATTCTGTGCAGCCCACGAGGTGGCTTACCAGGGAGGATCTTAACCTGCATCTGTCTGGAGTGGGAGAACCATGGCAACCCCTCCACTAAGCTTCTTTCTCCCAGAATTCTGTTCTGTTTACTCCACCCACCTAAGGGTTGGCCTATCAAGGGGCTTAGGCAGTTTCTTTATTAGTAAGAAATCACTCCCACATCAGTGATTCTTAATTCAGTATTTTTGTAATTATATAGTAGGACATTTATAACTGATTTCAAATCATTTCTCAATCCAAATATGTGCTCTTACCTTTTTTGGATTTAGCTATTTGTTTAACTTTATTTATTAATTTATGAAATTATAATAGAACTAACATTTTTCCTCCCCTCTCCTACCTCCTAACTCTCCCATTTTCTTTAAGAAAAAAACTACTATTTATTATTACTGAAAAGCAGTGTTTCAGTTTCTGAATTTGAATATTTCAGAAATTGCTATGCTCAGAAATATAGACAGTGATAGAAATAAAACACTACTTTATATCTAAAATTTATAAATGTTCCTGGGATACATTATATGCCTTATAGTAAATTTGTCAGGTGAATGAAAGAACAAAGAATATTACTTATAGTCAAAAAAAAATGTCTGCATTTCTGCAGATTGGTTGTTGTAACTGATGTTTTATTGTTTGATTTGCTCACATGCCTACTCAAACCATCCCCTATTTTCCCTTCTCCATTTCTTTTAATTACCTTTGATTTTTTTCTTAAGACTAAAACACACTTTGCTCCAGAAAAGAAATTTATTGATCTAGTTTGAGAAATAATACACAAAAAATAAATGTAATAGTAGAGGAATGGATAAATATGGGAAAAGGTAAAAAGCACAACTCATATTTTATACCTAATGTTAAGCAGCATCAAATCCCCACAACCTCTCAAAACTATTTTGCAGTTATTCTTCTGAGAGCCCCTTTAACATCCTTGTTCCTCAAGCTGTAAATGATAGGATTAAGCATGGGGGTCACCGCTGAATAGAACACTGAAATCATTTTATCCTTTTCATTCATTATCTTGGAGTTTGGTCTCATGTAGGCAAATATTGCTGAGCCATAGAAGAGGACAACAACAAGCAGATGGGAACCACAGGTGGAGAAGACCTTTAGCCTCCCCTCCCCAGACTGCATCTGGATCACAGTGGAGACGATGTTCCAGTAGGAGATGAGGATGAGGGAGACAGGAGCTAGGAGGATTATCACACCCATTGCAAAGATGGACATTTCTGTGCTGTAGGTGTCTGCTGAAGCCAGCTTCAGGAGGGCAGGAGGTTCACAGAAAAAGTGGTTAATGACATTGCTTCCTCGGTAAGGGAGACGCAGGGTGAATGTGGCATCTATCAGGGACACAAATGCACCACTGGCCCAGGACCCTGCAGCCAGCTGGACACATACCCAGTGTGTCATGATGGTGGAGTAGTGCAGAGGCTTACAGACAGCAACGTATCGGTCATAGGACATCACTGCCAGGAGTGCACACTCTGTACATCCAACCAGAAGTAACACAACAATCTGTGTTGTGCATCCAGCAAAAGAAATGGTCTTTTTCTTCACCAGAAAGTGGACAAGCACCTGGGGAACTGTGGTGGTAGAAAAGCAGAGATCGGCAAAGGACAGGTTCCTTAGGAAGAAGTACATGGGAGTGTGGAGTCTGGGGTCTGAGTGGATGAGTATGATGATCAGCAGATTTCCCAGCACAGTGAGCAGGTAGATGAGGAGAAAGAGGAAGAAGAGCAGGGCTTGGGTCTGTGGGTCCTGTGAGAGGCCCAGGAAGATGAATTCTGTCACAGATGAACTGTTGTCATCACCCATGAATAATTACTTATCTCTGTAGAAGAGCTTCAAGGAAAACATCAGCTGCTTCAGAATATCTACATAACTGGATATTTTCTTAATTTAAAATTAATTTCATTAATTCAAAAATTAGAGTATTGAGTTCTTTAAAACTATTTCCATGTTCTGAAAGACTGAAATTTTTTGGCCTGTGTGGTCTTTCAACAGAGAACCAAAGACTACTTTTGTTCTTCCCTTGCATCTTCTAGTGGCAGTAGAAAGAAAATAGCATACTGTGTGTTCCATCACCTATCTACCTCTGTTCCTCCTAATTAGTTGAGGGGCCTGTTGGTGCTACTCAGATTATATTCAACCTTTATGTAGTTCTGAGGAGTATCATGTTGAGATGACCTTAATTAGCTATGTATGACATTGTGAATTCTGTGATAATATTTATGAAGCCTTTCATTCACTTTTTTCAAAATAATTCTAGAGTATCACTCCTTAGAGTGAAGAATATCTAGAAAGTTATACTAAAGGGGTTAGTATTCTATGTTTCTATCACTCTATTTTAATTATGTCCAATGTAAGCAATGTTCTGTGGGTTATAAATAAAAATACTCGTGGTTTTGGTTGTTACACTTAGCACCTTCAAGTCTGCAAAGTCTGTCTTCAGCTCAATTTTATAATTCTTTGCACATGACACCAATTTTAATCTATTGGTATCACCTGGTGGCAATCATTGGTGACATTTTCATTTCATTCTCCTTTAAGCCACTTAAGTACATAATATAGAGTTACTATCATTCCTATAGCACAGAATATAAATATTATTCAAACTGCTAGTAACTCTGAGTGCTTCTGACTCAGTGTCTTGAAAGTTTCTTCTTGCTTCTTGAAGATATGGTTAAAGTCTCCTTTGTGAGGTCCTCTGACTATGGCTCATATCTACTCCTTGCACACAAACATCTTCTCTTCTCTTTCTTGATGGTATACAGATAATCTACCTAGCAAAGAAAACCAGTAGACTGCAAATAGCATTCAAGCATATTTAGTTTTATTTCCAATGGTTTAGTGTTGCAAGGAGATTTATTAAGAGGGCAGGTATTGAGAAATGGGACAGATATTCCTTGCAAATAATTTGATTGTGTGTCTTTGGAAAGAGCAAGACAATTCTAGATTGAAATGAGGGAATAAGGTCTAATTGGAGACATCAGTGTGGGTGAGAGATGAAAATGATTAAAATACTATACTCAGGCATGATATTCTCAGAAATATAACATTTTATAAAGCCTTCTATATTATTTATATTTTTAAAATAAAAATTAACATTATTAAATAAGTCTGAAACTATATTGACATTTTTCCAAATCAAAAATATAAAGATAATCCTTTCTCTCTCTCTCCTCTCTCTCTCTTTCTGGGGGGGGGGGGAATCCTGCACCTATATGTGTTCCTTGTGCTTTATTTGACTTTTTCTTCTGTTTCTTTTGTTCTATTGACTTGCTTTTGTTTCATATATTATTTTACTCTTATTTCTTAGATTTCAGAGGAAGAAAGAAATCAAAAGTTGTAATTAAAATGTATTTTAGGAAAAATCTATTTTTAAAAAATAAAAATTGAAAAATCAAAAAGTAAAATAAAAAGAACAAAATATCCTTATTGAGGGTCCTTGGAAAGTACTGTTATTATGCCATAGAAAAGTGGTGCATGCATAGTTAGCCAACCCACAAGAAACTCTATTAATGAGGAATGATGATCCTTGGGGTAGAGGAACACAGCAGGAACAGGGAACATAAATGAGAAGATATTTACTCTTCTTTGTACTTACATATAATGATTGCTTCCAATTTAGCCTACTGGATTAAAAATAGATAATAAAATATTTTAATAAGTAAACAGTTAAAATAAATATTTGCAAGAACTAGAAGTAGACAATATAGTCACAAGGAAAATAATGTCAGAGTATATTACAACAGACACTGTAAGTTGCCATAGGAGTCAATCCGGTAAGGCTATCTGAGGACTAAGCTCATGCTAATTAGTGTTTTCAATAAGCAAAATTAATCTGCATCATTAAGTAGGACTTAGTTGAATGATTGACAAGGTAGGAACAAATAAGTGGTTCGTACATGTTTTATCACAATAAAAACATATCACTAGTTTTCAGCATGTTTGCCCATGCACTGCATACAAAGAAAAGAAACATACATAAATAAGAATATATTTTTAAAAGTGGTGATATTATTGCTTAACTCTGTTAAGTATAAGATGTCTTTTTTAGGATTTTTTATTGATTTTTGTTGAGCTTCACGTTTTTCTCTTCTCCCCTCTCCTGCCACTCCCCCCATTCCAACCCTCTCCCAAAGTCCCCATGCTCCCAATTTACTCAGGAGATCTTGTCTTTTTCTACTACCCATGTAGATTAGATCTATGTCTAAGCCTGACTACAAAGATTCAAATGTCAAGAGTAGCTGATAACTTTCACTCACATAGCTTAAGTATATACTGTCACAAAACACAATGAAATAAAAGAATGAAGAAATTACTGTGGCAGATGACATAAAATAACTTTTTATAGAATGTGCAGTGATGACCTAATAAAGAAATAGGTGGCAAATACTATGGGAGAAATATAAATATGAATTAACAATACATAGTATATTAGAATCTCAGTATAATTTAATACACCCAAATAAAAATTAGTTACCTCAGATCCTTACCTGATGGATGATACTTTTGAATATATGATATGTAAATAAGATATACATAATAACTAAAAATGAAAACTACTACAATCAGCATAAATATTATTTATTACGTGGAAAACACATTACAATGAACTCTTTTCTCTGTAATTCTCTCTTTAACATTTGTGCTTTCAAGTAAGCAGTTATCATGTATTTCTTAGAGTGTTTGGATTAAAACTGACAAGAGTCTTTTCAAGTTTGTATGTTTTTATTATCTGAATACTCAACAACAAAAGAAATATTTGCAATCAGAAAATACATAGTATTTTTCACTGGATCCTTTAGAAGCTAGCTCTTCCTTATTCCATCACTGCTCCTCTTTCTAGCCTCCCCTCTTTATTCTGAAACTTTGTAAGCTTATGTTGGGTGGAGACCTCATTTTTAATTCTCTGTATCTTCATATCTGCTCTTCTGAAGAAGTTACTTATTCTAAATTATGTAGATGATGAAAATAAACTACAAATTAAAGACATGGATTTTCTAGAGCTTCAATGTCTAAAGTGAAATCAAGTTCTCCAGATGCAAACCTTGTATACTTAAAAACAATACTCACCCTTTCTTAATGAGACAGTGGAAATGTCATACAAGGGTAAATGGTGAAACCATAAAAACTGATATCAAACCTGTTTTAATTATGCTCCCAGGCATATTCATACTGTGACCTCCAGGCTTCATAGTCAAGGAGAGCTTATAATGCAGCACAAAATAAAGTCCTAAATAGTACTAATAATGTTATGAGGTTGAGATTGTTTTCTCTGTAACTCATTTGTGTGGGTCCCTATTATAAACTTGTAGGTGACAGGGTGGTGTTGCACAGTGAAAAGGCTGGCAACCTGTGGGCATTATAAACACACTCACAACCTCTCTTGAAGAGACATTATGTTGCTTTCTATTTGATATGATTCTTATTATTATTGTTCAAATATTTTTAAAGAAGAAAAAAGGATAATAATATAAGTTACAATAGAAATGTTCTGTTTTGTCCTGTTTAGGTATAAAAAGAAGGAAATTCTGCCATAATCTACTTTACAGATAAGCTTTAATGATCTACTGTACAAAGTGAAATAGAGAAGTCACAAAATACAAACACTCTGATTCTCTTATGTGCTATCTAAAATTATCAGGTTAAAAACAAAACAGTGACTGTGTGGATGAAGACTAGTGTAGTTTTGTTCGATCTTTAGAATTTCAGATTTATAAAATGAAAATGTTGCAGAGCTATCAGTCATACATCATGAGTATAAATAAAACACTACCAAATTCTGTAATTAATGGGGTGAAGAGGATAAATATATTGCTGTTATTGTTGTTTTTATCCACAATGTCTTTAAGTAATTTTTGCCCGAGTAAAGGGGGAAAGTTGTACAGACTCCATGATCCTTTTATTTGTGTATTTTTGTCTGCGTACTCATTGTTGATTTCATCATATACACATTCAGAACTCTGTGCTGATGCATTTTATGAGGCACACCATGAGTCCTGAAATATTTTCAATCTCATTTACCTCCTAAGTATAGTGTCATTGTGAACATATTTTCATCAAAGCAAAGTTCTCATCTCTTCCCATAGTATCTTAATTTTCTATGGCATTTGGTGTATTTAAATGGAAATATTTCTTATAACCTCACCTCGTTTTGGTTGTTGAAATTCTATATTAGGGACTTTGGTTTTGTAACTTACCACATCTTCACCATTATCATCTAACATATCTTGAACTTTTGAATGGTGTTTTTATGTCATTGTGTTATACCATCATGATTGGATAGGAAAATCACAATTAAATGTTATTTGTACTGCTACAGAATTTGAATGTTTATCTCGAATTATAATTGAAACACACTGAGCTTGTGGTGTACTGCTTGATAGTAATCAGGTTACTTAATATTCACATAGTAATCATTCAATTCATCTTCTAAAGTTAGAAAACTGAATATCCAAGTTCTAGCACAGAGTAAACTATTTATGGGTAACATGATCATTATGAACTCTCAAAAACAAACTCCTTGTATAAAGGAAGTTTAACACTTTCGATCATCCTTACATACATCTCTTCTCAACTTCCTGTCATCCCCTAAATTTTCCTGTCATGACTTTAGACAATATATACTGCATAAATATTTACCTTTCTCTCACTCTCTGTCTCAGAAAAAAATACTCTCTGATTTTTCAAAACAGTCTTTAAAGGGGTTGTTCTTGTCCTATTGACATTTTTTTCATTACAGTGGATATAACTACTTACTGAAGTTTTCTACTCCGTATACAGGCAGATTGGCTATTATTTTCACAAAA